ATCGCCCTCGAACAGAAGCCTGAACTACACAAAGTTCAACGTGAACTAACATTTGAGGTATAATTTAGTAAGATGTACAATAACACGATTAAAGACTACACGACACTACATTTGTTTTCTTTGTTATCATCAAACATCTAATTTATTCAGAACACATCGTCGTTACGGGGGGAAGGTTTGTAAAATTTCTAATGTACGTATACTTATTATATATGTATTTTTTTTTTCTTTAAAAACATAATATTTTTTACCGGTTTGACGCAATTTTATGTTTTATTTTTCACGTGTTTCCCGCTGGAAGATAGCGCCAAAATTATGTGCACATAAATTTCTTTGAGTCGAGACAAAAAATAAAGTTCAAGTAAACACACACCTCTCGCCACTACCCAGCGATGGCCTAGCCTTAATCATAATCATCATATTTTATATACACATATGTGTATAAAAAAATATGTTTTTAAGTAGCCGATTTCGACGGAGACGAAACCCCTCGGATGGTGATAAGAAGACCTAACCGGGCATGCATGCCGTAATATCTGAGCGTGCGTCTAGCCCTGCCAGGCTACCGTGTTGGTTGAACACACATAAATTATAACCGAGATATCTGTGCGGTGGATCTGAAGTATGGTGAACGCGGTAGAAAGAACAGGGGAAACATATATCATAAAAATAATAAAATAATAATAAAGAAAAAGAAAAATATATATATTTATAATATTGTTTTACCTCGTCGTCGACCATACATAGAAGTATGTAATATACATTCATACATAATGACGCCTACCGAAAAAAGTTTTAGCCTACGTGCGTTGTACAAGGTATATAAGAGAAACGGCTATGATATACATTGGTGGTACGTACTATATTATAGTATAATATAATATAATATTATACATATTGTATGATTATTATTTTTAAACATATATTATTATAATACGTAAAACCGCATTCTTTAGAAATTATGATGCTGAAAAACACACAAGCTCGCTCATCGTTAGTATTCAGTGCGCGTACACACACTACTTTTTTCAAAACGTTATTCGGCGACAGAAAATCTTATTTTTTAATTTTTTTTTATTATCCCGAAGAATTATAATTGGTCTCGGTCAACTATCCACCGATGCGATCGCAAAGACTGCGGTTACAATGCATTCCTAAACGTATGGTTAATAATTATTGTATATTAGAGGCATATTATACAATTTTTTTTCTACCCTCACAATGAAATTAACATTTTACAGTGATAAGTGATGTTTGTTTACTTATTTTCTTCTCCTCCGAAAAAATACATTGTTTTTGCCACTCATATTGACTAAAAAAACTGAATCATATATATTTTTAAGGCAAATCCGAAAAAAAAGTATGCATAAAATAGGCAGGGTGTACCCATCATAATATTTAATATAATATGTGTCTTAAGAAGCTATTTAGACATAAAACCAGAGAAAACTCATTTTTGTGTACAAATTAACGAAACATTAATGTGCTACGGTTTGCTGATGGTATAACAACAGTAGCTGAAACAGAACTTACAAAGAATATTAGGAACTATGGATGAAACGATGTTTAACAAATTAAATATGAAAACAAACACTCAAAAGACTTAAGTCCTTGTATGTAAAAGTAATTATGTTAGAGCAAGAAATTAACTAGGAAATCAGGAAATGGAAAAAGCAAAATAATTCATACATTTAGGAATTATTATCAGTGCGGATGAGAGAAGTAAAAATGAAATATAAAACTAGTATGTCAAGCAAAAATCTTTCCACTGCAAGCAATATTAGCCAACAGATAAGAAAAGCTAATTAGTTAAGTTCTTTATCGCTTTTGTGACTAATTTAACTATATAAATAATAATATTTTAAACTAAAATTTAATAAATTAATATCACTGAACTTGAATACATACTATTAATTTTATTACGCTTATATAATATGTAATATATTGATACTATGTAATTATTATTTATATTTTGTAAAAAATACAAGAAATATACATACAAATTATATACATTTTATTTAACATAACTTACTCACGCAATGTATTATTGCTTATATTATAGTAATGTATGAAAAAAATAATTTACATGGTATTACATCTAAATTATCTGTTAAATGTATTTTAATAAAAAAAAACAATTATATTTGTCGTAAGTCTTTATTTCTAGAGTTGTAGCCGTTAACGTTGTACTTGATTTTTTGTAAAAGGTGTATTTAACCAAACAATTTTGAAGTTAACATTTTAAATATAAACTTTTTAGTCCATATTTAACATAAAATGTTTTTTTTCCGAACGATCATTTACAATTTTTTTTTTAATTATACAGCTGTGTCGTAGTTATAGATCATATTACACATGCTATTCTATATAATATTCGAGATACTGTCACAGTAGAAGCATAACACAAAAAAGGTAAGCCCGTATAAAGCACACACACACACATATATATATATATATATATATATATATGTATAAGTGACACCTGTTTTGACTACCGCTTAAAAATCATTTAAAACGACAATAAATAGTACCCATATTATAAGTACACAACAATGACGTTTGATGAGTGCGATACGACCGCTGTGCATAAAAAAAGGGCACACATATCAAGTGCAGTCATATGCGTATAATTACACTTGTCCTTTTGTAACTCAAAACATAGTTATTTCGCTCAAATAGCTCGAAAACGAGTGAAAAAAAAATGTTTATGTAAAACGGGATGTTAATTTTTTTTATTAAGACAGGTGTCCTCATTAACATGAACGTTGCCCCGGGAGGAGGTATTACGTACAAATATAGGTACACCAAATATACACATATACATATATTTTTTAAACTCAAACGGCTTCCGCGGCTCCGTCGTATAATACTCCTCTTCTTATCCGTTCACATCTAATAGTGTGTGTTGTATGTGCATCCCTAGCACTTGCAGCCCTTGGGCAATCTCAGTCGGCGACGACGCCGTCGCATTAACGTCTACCTAATTGTCGGTTACATACCGCAATCGCCCTCGGGGTCCACCCAGACCCGCCAAGAGTGTATAACAAAAAAGTGGAAAAAAAATTGTGGATAAACAACATCGAAGTTAAAAAAGAATACCTATTATATTATAACATACAACACATCTGATATTTTCCTTTAAAAGTTTTCGTTATCGTGTATGGCGATCGTCGTATAAGAAATTAAAAAATACTAAAAAAGAAAAGACGCGTATTATAATAGTACATTATTACCCATACATTTTTTTACCGATCTTCTGCTCTAAATATATTTTAGTGGTAAAGGTATATTATATTTTATTAGATTTGATCTACCATCACAGGTATATTAAAAACTGTAATAGGATTATACGATAAATATTATAGTAATACCTTAAAAAATCTTATAATCATCATCATCCAACTCGGATAGCGAAAAAAAATATTATTGTTACCTAATGGAAATATCGTACAAATATGTAAATACAAAGTTTCTAGATGCGTAACAGAACTATAATATGGGGGAAAATAATCCCTTTCATTTATTTATTTAAATTTACCTCTTCCCCAAAGTCCAATATGAGAATGTAGGGGATCATTCCCTTTTCACCTCACCTTAAATGCATCAATGCAATTTTATAATTTGATTACTCTTACAAGTATTTGGAACTTTTATACAAATTTTCCAAAGTAATAAGGGTTTATCATAAATATACAATAAAACTAAACTTCCTAGTTATATTATTTTACAGAGTTATTTAGTTTTTGTTAAAATGTATTAAAATAAAGTGAATCAAAGCGCACGACTCAAATTACATGATTTTACAATAGCAACGAGCTTTAGCCGTAGTTTACTCATTCCGACATTAATAGTAATAACTAAAGGATAAGCATTAGTATGAAAATAGTTTTACAATTATAAAAAACCCACGTAACGCTGACCTGACGTTACTAAAGTACATAGAGAATACCATGTTATATAATTCACATTAGTGAATTCTTAAGAGATGTAACACAATTTTGTTTTACTGACTTATTTACCATAGAGCTTTTATAAGTACATAATAAATATTTTTATAAAGCATACACCCTATAGCTTCGTATAACCGCAATTTAAAAACTAAAAATAATAACATAAAGATATTTTTAAAAATATTCGCTGCCGAAACGTATACATTTACCATAAACGAGAATACATCTAGTAAACCTGTACGAAATAATACTTCTCTCGGTTGTCTCGTGGCCCAATGGATCAATTACGGATTAACGAATGATAAAAAAAAAAAAGTTGTTGAAAACGATATTTCAACGCGTCACCTATAAGAGAAAAAACTAGTATACGCGTTATTTAGATATGCACATAATTTTGTATGTTAATGTCGGAGGGAAAACGCGTTTTCGTTAATGCCGTATAAGAAAACCATCGAGTACATCAATCATCAAGTGGACACACCAAATCATGGAAAAAAAAATGTATAATACGACATTAACAAAAAATACTTTAAATTTAGGTACTTAGACCACATGTATAAATATATATATATAAATAATTTGTTTTCGTTAAAAAGTTGATTTCCTTTTATTTTTTACTGCTTACCATAATATTATTATAGTTAATTTTGATATAATTATGTGTAAAAAAAAAAGTAAGCGTTAAATAATTTAAATTACTGCGCTTGTTTAATTATAATGACACTATTATAATATGACATTAATTATAAGAAAAACATTATACTTATTACTTACACACTGTTTTGAGTCCAAGAAAATTGACGAAACCGCAACAGAAGACGAACATACATGAACAAAACGATTAGTAAACGTTTTGAATAAAGATAGATGTTAACAATATAAAGGTGATTCATTTAACGTAAGACACTCTTTTTCTTTGATAATAATTATATTTTATCTTTTTGGAGACATTTTAGTTAAATTACAATATTTTAAGTATTATTTATTTAGTAGTATTTTATTAAAACATAAAAAATAACGTATATGTTTTATAACCATTTTAAGTAAAAATTTGCTGAATTTACTAAAAATGTTGACTGGTCGATAACCTGATTTAAAGAATATTGTGTTTAGAATTTTAAATTATTAAGGACGGGAAGACAGGCCGCCAGATGGATGGTGAAATATGATATTATTTTAATTTACGCCCGTAACTCAACCGCAGTCATACTTCCATTCTAAATTTTATAACGTTGTAATGAAACATAAATAAAAATATTTTTAAAAAAAACTACAAAATTGTAATTATTATAAAAGAAATTTAGCGTCTTACGTTGAATGGAACACCCTGTATATGTTTCAACTTACAGTCATTGGATCCTGTTTGTAGATGAACAACCAACCATAGAAAAAAACAAAAAATGTATTAGTAAAATAGTTATGATTATATATTATAGTGTTGTTATTTATACATACAACCAATAAAATTAGTATAAAATATAAGTTTGATGAATTCATTCAATTAGTTATGTAAGTAGTAAGATTGTAGTATTGCGCTAGTCTTTACTGACCTACGTCTGAGATGATAAAGGTGTTCTCAATTCTATATATATATATATAATATACAGAATATTCTGGGATATATTACGTGAGACTTATTTATAACATTTAAAAGTGTGCGCTCCGTTGTTTTTATTGAGTACTATTATAGCATGAAACATTTGTTTTAAAAAGAAATATAGCATACTATAATTGTTTGTACGATACGCGAGTGACATGGGTAATTTTACATTATTCCAAAATATATAACGTCCACGTTGAAATTAATTGCGAAAATGGATAATGGATATTGTGTCTACATATAAAATAATCATGTTTTGGACCGAATTGTACAAGACCGTTAAATAAGACAGAAAATTAAACACATTTAAACTAATTAATTATTGTAAATTAGTTGTTTTAATCAGCTGGGGCCATCACAGCAAGTATTATCACGCTGAAGAAATCGAAAACGACTACAAATTATACGGAGCAAGCAAGTTTAGACACATAGTCAGATAAGGCGCATATATAATAGCCAACTGGAATCCGGCTTATACATCTGCTGTAAAGTTGAGCAATGTATTATATAAACTAATTTTACTGGTTTTAACCATTAGTACATACATTAATATCAACACTTCTTGTCCAATAATAATAATAATACCTATACATAAGTGATTACAACAATAATTAAAAGCAAGTAGTCGTTTTTAAATATATAATTTATAATGGTTTTGTCGTTCATGTTTCTTAATTTATACAAATATACTGTTTTAAAAGGAATTCAGCACAATCGTAATATTATAAACAACAGTAAACATATTTATTGACATATTGACATTAGGCGAACTGTAAAAACTACATCAAACTGTTACTCGAATGGCCGAATCAAAAGAAATAATCGTGAGAGGCAAACACACAACATAACCAAGTACAAGAAAAAGGTAGGATTTATACACAGCTCGGAGTTATAGAATAGAAAAAAATTCTCACAAAAAGTCACGAGTCACTAACGGCTCATAACCATTACACTTAAAATGTTTGCCGCGCAATGTCGGCCAAATGATTTAATTTGTATTTAATCGCGACTTAGAACGATACACATGTTCGAGTATGTTCGCCGTCAATAAAACGCTAGTAACTCTGTAGTTTTATTTAATTTCACAAGTACACGGGAAACGTTGTTTACATTTACTGATAAGGTTACACAACAGTAGCCAAACAAATTACACACACAAACACACGTGAATTTCAGCATATTTTTAGTTTAACTTTAAAAAATTATACATCTACTACATATTATTATATAGATTACATCATGTAACTTTACAGCAATTGGAGAACGAATATAACCGCTAATTTTGTTCTTCGAAACGTAAAAAAAAAGTGGTCTTGAAAAATCTACACAAATAATCAAAAAACTGCATAAATCTAAGTATTCCATTAGATTGCGGATAAAACAAGCAATTGAAGACCTTGGGGCAACAACAAGACATGTCCTTTTTTAAAATTTTTTTTTTTTTTTCAAAATGATTTTAAACCCAAAAAATTTAAAAAAAGGACATGTCTTGTTGTTGCCCCAAGGTCTTCAATTTATCGTTAGAAGAATTAAGAAAAGTAGTAATCTAACCTTATGCAATAATAAAAAACGGTTAAGAATAACGATTCTATTTTGATACATTTTAAAATATCACGGGTCACAGGTCATAATTACAATCTGAAATGATCATTTAAAAAAAAACACAACTATACACAAACATTTACTATTTTCATTTTATTATTGACCATCGCTTATTATTCTGATCAAGATTTATAGTTTAATCTTATTTTGGCTGTTATCACCGAACATTTTAATATAATAATCTTAATATTAAAATATTATAATCTTTAGGAGGTGAATATGATCTTATTATCCCTTTTCTACCCAACTGTTCATTTGTTATATTCACCGTTAGTGTTACTATGGCTTAACGCGGTTTTATGACGATATCGACGGAGGAGCCTTGTTAAAATCATGTATTATGACAAAATTTTAACTGCAGTTTTCATAATACATATTACATGTCTACAGAATTGAGAATTATACATAGGTATTATTATACAAATTACGACGACTACTGTATTTAGAAAGTCCACTAGTGTGGCTCTTCAATTTTCTCACGGTGTACTTATGCTGTATGACTTTTACACTTTAAATAGGTATACCGTTCGATACACCATATTATATATGTAGGTAGTAGGTACTCGGGGAACATAAATTATCATCGATCACACAATGAAAAAAAAACCAACAACACTTGGGAAGTAACACATGCTTATAATATTAAGGTGGGCTTAATTCGAGTGGTGAATGGGGCGGGCGGCCAAACACATTTTACTTATACACGTATATCTCGTATAATATTTATATACCTAGAGACACATAATAAAAACACATCATTAAGGCCGTGATGACTGTCTAGCGCGCGCGCCTTGGTGCGTTTTACCCGCAAGATAGAGACATCCGCCAGAGATGAGATGAAGGACCAGCAACGCAGCGGCCCATGATTAATAGGAACCGGCAAAGTATTGTAATTTTCGACGCGAAGAGACGGATAAGTACGGCCGATCAAAAATGAGAGTGTACACACAACAACAACGGGCGTATAAAAAATAATACAAATCGCCGGGGCTCAATTACCACTGTCCATTATCTAGTCACCGTTCTAAGTGGATATTAATAATACCTACTGTAAACGCATCAGCAGCACCGCCGAGTCCCGCGTGCTGTACGTCGCCCGTAGCTCGTGTGTCCTGGAGAAAAATTATTTAGACTTTCATAAACATTACACTATACATAGATACTTCCTACATCAGCTATCTATTGCTACGGTGGATATATGACGTGTTAAAGCGGTGGGTTTGTCAGGGGGACAGCCTCAATTATAAACACCTTTAACCGACTTTACTAACCCGCCGTCTCTTAACGACCGCTGCGCCGATTCTATCTTTTCCTATATTTTTTGCCCTCTGGAGTCCGGTTTTAAAACATTAACACATAGTGTCAAAAGTATATAAGTACAGCCGAACATAAAATAAATATTTTATTTTAACTTTTCCATATCTTGTAAGTTATAGTACACAGAAAACACTAGTATATCTAAAACATTCCAATTTTCTTTGACTAAATCATAAATACACCAAGTCAATGGAGTTAACAAAGATAGATCATCATATTTATGGGCCGCAATGTCACTGACAAGCATCTCTTATTCAAGCATACTCTAACAAGAGTATATAATGGACATTTCTTTCCTGAGATTTTAACTGATACTTATTTTTAGTTTTTTTCTGCCAAAATCACTTTAGTTAAATTATTAACAATAAATATTAACAACGTTTAACAAATTTTGTTAAACATTCAACATAATATTCAAATTTTAATATTCTATAATGGTATTTTATTTTATGAACTCCACATTCAATAGTAGTAATACAGTTTTACCGGTTAATGTTCGTAACATTAATATTATAAATATACGATCCGTTGACCAATACAACGTAATTATTGTAAACATCAATACATTAAGTTTAATAATAAACTATAATACTATTAGTGGTTCCTTAGAAGTGCATAAAAAACTACATAATATTAAACTTATATATATTCACATTGCCTATTATACAGGATATGCAATACAGATTCGCCTTAATCTCAGGTACTGTAGAATGTCTGGGAATATTTTACAATATATTTTGTTTAACTAATGTAAAATATTATTTTATACATTTCAAAAATTGTTTTAAAAAAATTGAGTGGATTATAAAATTTGGTAGCGTTAGCATTAGAGGTATGCATTTAAAAGTCTGAAGCATCAGGAGGAGAAAAATAAATTACACAGTATATTTTGTATGTTAAGCAGTAGAAACGAGGTTCAGAAAATACATACATAAATACTCCAATCATAATTCCACAGCAGGCAAAATATTTCGCCAGTACTGAATAATGCAGGTGCGCTACGAACAGTAGTACTGCTACATTATTGGTATATACGTCTGGAATAATTCTGTACCTAACGTAATTAACAATATTGGATCAGTAATGTGCAAATGATTGTTTTCAATGACTGAACGGCTAAGCTAACACAGTATCGGTGGCATACAGTAATACCGCAACTGTTATGAGTGTTGGCGTAAAGTAGGAAATTCTGTTTGAAATACGATTGGGTAGTGTTGTAAATAAAAAGTATTAAAACTTTGAAATGAATGGACTATAATATATTTTTATTATGGTATATATGAACTCTAGACTCGTTATAGGAGCACAAGCGCCGACGGAAGAAAAATATCTGATGGAAACCGCGCTTATATTATTTTATTATTGCGTTCACGAACGATATAAAATCAGAGCCAGAACGCGTCACTCGTTTTCATTAAAAAAATAAGTAATATGACCGTCCACATTTTTTGTTTCTGCGATCGCAGGCTAAAATAAAATATTAACGTCTCAATCGTATATATTGATTACACGACGAGGGTTTCGGACGTTTATAGTGACTCGAGGAGCGGAAGAGAATGGGTAGACGATGAGAATCGGTAAAACCAGTTTTGATAACGATAAACGCAGTTTGGTTCGTTTTCTCCACGTGAGCTGTACATAGAGGATCCGCGCAACGGCGGCCGCCGTCATGAATGATAATATGATATGGTTGTTAATTATTATTACGACCGATAAAAACAACAACAATAATCATAATAATAATAATAAAAGACTAGATTTACGACGACAACGACGACTGCGTTGAAAAAAACCAAATGTTGTAAATCATCGTCACGGCATTTAAACCAAGTTGGCCGTG